GAGAATAGTAATCATAATGTTTGTTAAACAAAATCAAACCTTGGTTGGATCTTCAATGACTTTCATTTCCTCACCTTCCCGCATTTCTTCCAGCCACTCAGTCATCTACTTGAACCTATCCTTCATCCTCTGCCACCTCTGCCATCAACCAACAATTTCAAGATTTCTTAATCAAAACAGAAAATGCAAAAGAAAAGATTGCAAATTTATATTAAGTAAAAGAAACCCATAATTCTTCAAAACCCAAAATCAGCATAAATCAAAATCAAAACAAGAGAAAGAAACCCATGAATATCGTTGCAAGAACTATTTAAACCCTTAAATTGGGAGTCAAAATCAATTCTTTTTATTCATGTGAAACTTATAATCTTGAATGCATTTATTCATTTAATAATATGTAAAAATTATATTAAAATGTCTATAAAAAAATTATTCTTCTCGCATTGCCCATAACTCAAATGGTAAGAGGACATTCAACCGCTTGTAAACAAAGCGCGAGAAGTCGTGTGAAGTCACGTGAAGTCGCGTGAAGTCGCGTGAAGTTACGAATACTCTTTAAGTTATTTATTTATATAATCTATTGAGATCTCAAATTTATTCTTCTTAAAATAACAACATCTAGGGTGGATGCAATTCTTGATAGAAAATTATTTATCGATAACATGACTTCATTTTGATTGGATTGAACATGACTTCATTTTGATTGGATTGTTCGTCTCTACGGTGCTTATTTGGTGTCCAACAGTGCAATCTTTCATGCTACGGAAGAAACAAAAGCTATTGAGTTGATTTTTTTTTTTATTTTGTTTACAATGACTTAGGTTTTCCTTTTTTCAAAAACGGCATGCAATAAGGAATTAGAGAAATATGTTGGTGGAATCGGACTAATAGGAGGTGATGGAGGAAATCAAACAATTCTGTGGTTTGACACTATAGAAGAAATTGATTAATTCCATTAATTCATTTTATGTTGAGAAAGTTGATTGATTCTTTTTATTGAGTTATAGTAAAGTGATTGATTCTATTTTAAATCTAAAATTTTTTTTAAGATTGATTCTATTTTAAATCTAAAATTTTTTTGAATGAAGACTTTGAAGATTTAATGGATCTTAAAACACCATAATTCCTCAATTTTAAAAGATTAAATGCTTGATTACTGAATCATATTACAAATGGATGCATTTTTTTAAAAATAAAATTAGTGCCTAACTTTTAGAATTTTCTCAAAATTTGGAGTTCTGTATTTGTATTTTTTTTAGCCAGGCACGTTTAATAGAACTCTCACAATCTCTTGCTATATCAAAGCACACTGTATCCAATCCAAACACAATGGTGACCATCTTTGAGGATAAGTGGGTTGAGAAGAATGACACTGAAAATAGGATGCGGTTTCCTAATAACGCCAACATAGTAGATCTTCCATTTACTTGCAGCAACAACGGCCAGTCAGGAATGTTACCCGTTCTAGACGAGAAGGGTTTTCAGTGGACGCTTACCTGCAGAAATCAGAACGGAACGATATATTTCACTGATGGTTGGAAGGAGTTCAGAAAAGAGAAACGCATTAGAGTTGGTCACAGGGTGACCCTTTACAAAGACGATTATTCCTTCGGCTCTGGAGCACAGTACAAGATTATAGTGATGGAAAACTGAGCAAAAGGGATTGATTGTTGGATTTAATTTAATTAGATGAAACATTTTTAATTCCCCTCTTCATGTACCTCAAACACCAGCCGTCGGTCGAAATCAGAGAAATCCGATAGCTGGCTGGTTGGGAAGAATGTCGGGACGGGTGCCGGTCCGATTAGATTTGTATTTTGTTTAGTTAGAGTAGCCATTTTACAGCGACCAACCATTTTTTATAGCTTGCAGGTTTCTAGTTAACTCGTTTTCGTCCTTCTTTATTTATTTATTTTTTTCCTCTTCCTTGGGGTTTCAGTTAAAAAATTTGCAGTTCAAACGTTCTCCAATTACACAGTTTAAATTATGGGGCCAGATTTGAAACACTTCAAAGTCTAATGGGCAATGTTAAGTTCAA